CGGGGCTGCGCTGGGGAAGGCTGTGGTGTGTACTGCAGGTCCAGACGATGCCAACAAGCAGTTGCCGAATGTCCACGCTTGGAACAAATTTGACAGATCACAGGATTAGTGGATGGTTGTCTTGTTGAGTTGCTGGCTTGATTCGAAGATTTTCCACGGGAACGGCGTCCACGTCCTCGATATGTAAACAGAGCGGTGGTATTATCCGGAGCGGAGTTAACCCGAGCAGAATCAGAAGCGATATTAATCTCTTCGCTAAGAAGAAGAGGATATAGTTGATCAAGAGATAACGGAGTGAGCATAGTCCGAATAGCAGTCTTGAAGGATTGATACGAGGGTGGTAGACCGTTAAGTATGTAAAGAATGATATCTTCCGTGTCGACAGCCGCTCCGGAAGCCGAGATTTGATCAACGATATTCTTGATTTCAGAGAGATATTCGGTTATGGTTTGATTCTTGAGAGAGATATTGTGGAGGGAGTTTTTAAGCTGGATAACTTTGGAACGGTTTGTGGCTTGAAACCTGTTTTCTAGGGTGGTCCAGATTGCAGCGGTGGAGTCAAGGTTAACCACATATGGTAGAATAGAAGGTGAAATCGTGGAGCAGAGAGCAGCTGCAAGGATTTGATCGGTAAGAATCCATTGATTTTGAGAGGGATTCGAAGTACCGTCGGAATGAGATGAAACAGATGGCGGAGGAATTTGAGTAGAATCAAGAAAACGTTCGAACCGATTTGCTCGAAGAATCTTGACGATTTGGGCTTTCCAAATCAGGTAGTTGTCGGCGGCAAGCTGAACAGAGACGATTGTCTTGAGGTTTGTAACCACGAACTTGAGCGCAGTGGGAATGACGGGATCAGGGAGATCAGCCATATCCGAAGGATCGCCTAGATGTGATGCAGCGGAAGAAGTCATCGGAGAAGAGAAAGATCAAGAAGAGGAGGAAGAAGGATCTTGCCAAACTTATGATACCATGTAGAAACAGGATCGTTGATCCTGAGCGGAAAGATGAGTCGAGAACAGGAAAATGAAAAGTATTATTTCGTCCACTTAGTCGTATTATACAGAGTGTATATATAGAGTTTAGATAGTACAAGTTAGAGTAATAAACCAATGATGTACAGCCACATCAGCATAATAATAAAACTAATTAATGTCTTCTTCTAATAGTTTGTGTTCATGTTTGGTTCGTTTAATTTATTAGTGTTCATGTTTGATTCATGTTCGGTTCATGTTTGATTCATTTAGTACTTGCCGAGCTTTAAACAAACAAACATTAATGAGCTATGTTAGCGAACATATTTAGCAAACAATCTATTGAACAAACAAACCTTAAATTTGATTATGAAAATCCTAAACAAATAAGCTAGCAAACATTAATAAATGTAAAATATTTCTTGTTCTTGAACAAATTCATTATGTTATAGTAAATTTAAAATATTTATATTATGTATATTTATCAATTTTATAATTAAATATTAATCAAATTTGTATCGAGTTTATTCACGAGCTTTGAATCGAACATGAATCGAGCTTAATGTTGCGAACTTGTTCACGAGGTTCAAATGATGTTGTTCGTGAATATAAATGAACTGAACACATTAGTATTCAAGTTTGTTTATTTAAGGATCGAGTATTTAAAATGATGTTCAAGTTTGTTTGTTTAGTTAGATAAACGATCACAAACGAAGTAACGAGTAGCTCGTCAAATATCTGGTTCGCTTGCAGCCCTATCAATAATAAACTGGCTTTTCTTATTTTTTATACACATAATATTATAGAAATAGTACCGACTAGCTATTACTCATTCACATGCCAATATTCATTCACAATACTTGTATTAATATTATAATCGCATCAAAATGCTAAAATAACTATTCATATATAATTCATATAAAATGCAATAACTTTAATTTTCATGGGTGAAAATACAAAACCAACCAGTCAAAATGACTAGAATGACGTGCTACAACATACAGAAAGTTATGCGATAACATCTTATAATCAAAATATGCAATTGTTGCGTCCTGGAGTATTCGCGGCGGTAGAGAAATATTTAGTTTAATGTCTTAGCGTTGTACGAAAATCCGGCACGCAACAGTTTGGCGCCGTCTGTGGGAAAGTGGTTCCCGACTGGGCGAATACTCCTGGACGCAACAGCAATAAAAATCAATTTGAAAGAAATCAAACACTGAAAATTATTTAAAAAAAAATGAGTAGGTTAGAAGTAACATAAAAGTAGCAAAATAAAGTGGCAGCCAAAAACTTACTCTATCTTTCCTCTTTCTTCCTTCCCTTCTCCTCTTCTTCCTTTCATTGCACATCATGTCAGTTGAAGTGAGGGGAGAGTGGAGTAGTGGTAAGGATATTCATATTAATTATATATAAACACTCATTTTAGTGCCCGGAGCCGTAGCGCCCAAGTGACCCAGTGCCACAACGCTGAATTAATTTTCAAAATTCTAGAGAGCTCAACGTCGAGGCCCCATACTACTCAGCATCATGGTGCTCTAGATCAAGAATTTTTATATTTTTATATTTTTTTTAAAGATGTTTTCAGATTTTCAAGTTATTACAATTAATATATCAAAGTTTGTGATTACACTTCAAGTGTTTGATTTGGGTTTATTTGTATTTAGATCAGATCGCTTTTAGTGTCATTAAGTTCATTTCATCAATTTGCTCAATAAGAATATAAGTTTTCTGAAATCAGATGTAAAATGATCTTGAACAAAATTTTGAAGTTTCCAATTCAAATACTATCTTGGGATTCATGTTTCATGGGATGGATTTTTTGGGCCGTATTTGTATTAAAATGATTTATCTTAGAAAAAAAAAAAACTTTAATATACATTTTCTTTTAAACATGATATATCACAAGAAAAATTACCAATTAAATTTATATCTTGTTGTATGTATCTAAATTGAAAACTTTTAAGATTGACATCAGGGCCATATTTAACATACTTACAATCCAAATGAATATTTTGATGCGACGTACCAAATGATACCAATGGTGCCTTGATTCAAATTCAAACAATCATAAATCAATCACTCAATAGCATAGTTGGTAACTTTGCAAAAAAAGTTTTAGACAAAGTGATCTCTAAGTATTTCATGCTTATATTCTAAATTAGGGTGTCAAAATCGGGTTTTGTGTCAAACTCGGAACTGACCCGGGTTCAAATGGGTTAACCCTAATCTGACCTAGGTATGTAAACGGGTCAGAAATGCGAACCCGGATCCAACCCATTGGGTTGACCCGACCCAACACGGGATGGCAAAACACGCAGATAGCGGGTGCGCTCGGGCAGGCGTGGACGCGAGCAGGACACGTGTGGCCAGGTGTGCGGGCAAGCTCGGGAAGGTGCGCGGGCAGCCTCGGGTGGCGGGCTGGCAAGAGCGATCGGGCGGGCAGCCGGGGCAGCTCATTTTAAACGGGTTTTCGGGTTGACCCGGCAACCCGTCGGGTCAACCTGAACTTGGCCCGTTTTTCAAACGGGTCGAATCCTGGAACCCAAACCCAACCCATTTTGAAAATGGGTCGGGTTAAACCCAAAATTTCTAGGTCAGGTTCGAGTCGGATTTTCGTGTCATGTCAATTGTTGACACCCCTATTCTAAACGAATATCTCGATGAGTGGTATACGACATGCATAAGATCGTTGAATTATGATATCATCAATGCACTTAAGTGCCTAAAACAACTTACACAATCAAAATAATTACTATAGACTGTTTGTTGAAGTACTTAGACATCTAACTAAAATAACACTCCAAAAAATTATAAAAAAGCCCTCATTCTAGGCATGAAGAGGAATTGGAGTTGGAAAGAGCTTACAAATTTAAAGAATCATATAGCTTTGTCGATCTCCGCTATCAAACATTGTTATCATAATGTTCCTGCTTGCTCGACTGTTATTTCTTGATTGTTGTCACCTTATGTCAACTGACACCAACATTCGTACTCACCTTACTACTATCTATTAATAATGATGTTTGTCATTATTCGATGACCATCTCCTGATTGCCGATGTATGCTATTAATCAGTACTGACGACCATCATCATCAGACCATCATAATCACTTATTATTTCTCCAGTATTTTCACTTAGGAGATCAAGTTAAAAATCCATGTATTATTATCTCTCATTTTTCCAATTACAGAGAATGGAAGATTTGTGTAATATTCATCTATATAGTACATTATTCAAACTACAACTTGACCCAAACATTTTTTTCCTTTCATAAAATTTTCATATAAAAATTTTTGTTTCTTTTTATGTGCTCTTGTAATTTTTGTGTATAAAATTTTTAGCACATAATAAATAAAATATATAGGATTTACTTACTTCCATTTTTTTTTGGCTTGTATACAGTAATTTCAACAGAAACAAAATACCTAAATTGCCCCATTTGTACAGCTCGTTGATATTTTATTTATTGCTCACGTGTAAAACGAGTCGCTTGAATCTAACTACCCATGGGGATTAAAAATAAAAATAAAATTAAAATAAAAAATTAAAAACATTTTTTAAGAAACTAAAAACTACAGCATGTGATATTAATCATATATTTTCCTAAAAATAATATAATTAAATAAACGTCGAGTTTGATTAATCTTAATAAACTCTATAATTCATCAGATTTAAAGCGAATTAATGAATTTTTTGTCATGTATATTTCTCTCTCATTTTCGGAAAATCAAATCTTTACATGAAATTTTTAAAATTAGTATCTCTCTGAATTATTAATAAATAAAAAAATACATTATTTTTTTTAAACAGGAAAGACAATATAATATTCCTTTAAAAAAATTAAATACAAAAAAAAGGGAATTTTATTTTAATAAGTATTTCATAATTAGATCTATTTTCATATTAAACTTATATTCTAAATTTAAAAATTTTGATGGGTGAGATTTAAAGCTCATCCTATTAAAAAAAGAAATTATATTATAAAACTCAAATTTAAGGGGAAAAAAAAGGACGTCACGAAAGTACGAAACTCTACAGGATAAAATACGAATGATTCATTCCTCTTTTCAAAATAGCTTCGGCAATCTCCCACCTTCCCCCTCACCCGTTCCTCACTCCCTGCACTTCACTTGCTACTTCAAACATGGCTACTGCTTCTTGCAACCTCCAGCTGAAGCTACTCTTCCTCCTCTTCTTCTGCCATCTATGGCCTTGCTTTCTTGCTGCAGTGAACATTTCTCATCTTCCAGGTTTCAATGGAGAACTTCCATTTCGGTTGGAGACCGGGTGAGCTAGCATCTGGTTTTTATTTTTGTAAACTGCTAGCTTCGTTTTGCGCTTTGGTTAATCTATTTCTTTGCTTCGTTGTTTTGGGTGAAAAGGTATGTGACAATGGATGAGGAGAGTGGAGCTGAGCTCTTTTACTACTTTGTGGAGTCAGAGAGGAACCCTAACGAGGACCCGCTCCTCCTTTGGCTTATTGGCGGCCCTGGATGCTCTGGTTTCAACGGCTTGGCTTTAGACATGGGTTTGCTCATACTTCCTCTCTGTTTTGTTTGGACTTTTACTGATTTTCTATTTGAACCATAAAAATTTAACGGGGGGCGGAGCCAGAAAATTTTATATGTGAGGGCACAAATTATTAAATTTAAAAGTACCCTCAATCTATTTCATTACGTAATTAAAAAATTTATAAAATTGAAAGGCATAATAAAGTGTAAAAAAAAACATAAAATCTTAACTTACTTGTTTAGAGTATTTCCAATCTTCTTACAAATGTAGATGACTCCAAATTAAAAATTGCTTAATCTAAATACTGAAATAGTGCAAACATTATATAACCAAACAGCACTTAAATACATATACCATTTGGAGCTTATAAGAAATGGATTAAAATAAAATAAAAAATGTGAAATATCATACCAATTATTATTCATTTGTAATCAAATCATGAATTAATAGTTGTTTTGTTTCCTTTGCTTTATCCAATCCAACTCAGCTTTAGAAGGAAAAAAAAATGCATATTTACCTTGCTATAAATATATTATTTTTACCTGTTTTAGCTTATAACAAAAGAACAGACAAAGTTCAAAATCCAACAACGGTTTAAGGCCAAAAAATAATAAAGGAAAAAAAAATCCCAAAAATGGATGGAACACCTACTAATCTTATTCACTTTTGCAAAAATTCCTACAATCTCATGCTTATATAGTTGTACGCTTATACGACAAATTCAAAAGCGAAAAACCCTCATGTCTTTTTTTGTTCAGCTAGTGGGGGCCTGTGCCCCAAGGGCCCCTAGCTTAAATCCGCCCCTGAATTTAACAATGTTTTTAAGTTACTTTTTAGGGGCTGTTTGTTACCATGTTTTAGGCAGGTTTAGCTTAAATATTGTCAAACATAATTTTCAAGTAGGGGCTGTTGGTTAAATATCATCATTCACAAGCTAGGTTCAACAGATATTTTTTCTCTCGCAAATCTTAAATTATGGAATAAATTGCGAAACAATTTTTAAGGTTCTCACAACATTTAATGGCTTACCAAACAGTTTTCAAGTTTTAATCCTCTCAAGATTTATGTTATTATGATTTAAAGGATTTACCATCCTACTTGGTTAAATCCTAGTCATACTCAGTTGTTTCAGGCTAGAAAAAATTGCAACAGTAGACTAAGAGAGTATATGTCTTAGGTTTATAAAGATTCAACACACATATAGATTATTGAAAAGTCCACATGTGACAACAACTTTTACATGAAAAATTCAAAAATGAAAAAAAAAAAAATCATATGGTCGCCCAGTTGAAATGACTTCTGAGAGTTCATTACAAATATTTGCATGTATCTTAATTTTGAGATGAAAATATTACAATAGTACAAGCTGGTAGAAAATATCGAAGAGTTGGTATGGGGTGGAAGGTATTTAATTGTTGTGATTAAATGACAATGGTCGACAGTGTTGGTTTGGTGATGATGACAACCCAATAATGGTGATTAGCTGGTTGCAGTATGATGGTAGTTTTTCAATGATGGCAATGGTCAAGCAGTGGTGATCCAAAAATAGTGCTCAGGTAATGGTGGTATGAAATGGTGATCGTGTAGTTGCGACTTGACGATGGCGATTAGGTGACCAAAGTTTGACGGTGGCGATCCAACTGTGGTTCAACAATGGCATTCTATCAAAGGTTTGATGGCGACGGTTGAGCGGCGAAGTTTTGCATCTCTAGCCAAGGGATCTCTTCATGTAGAGAATAGGGTCCTAGTTATAGATCTCTTAGAGTTGCATTTTCAATAAATATGAAGAAAATTCAAAACACTCCATTGGACGATTTGTATTAATTTTTTAATCATTGAGCATGCATTCAGCATTTTAAGTGCCTTAATGTTGTTGGAATTAAGCAATCTTGATCTTATTGGATTCATCTCATTGAGACGCTCGATTTGACTATAATCATGTCAAATGTGGAGATCATTTGGTCCAATTAAAATTCTAAACTTTCCAACGATGCTTCAAGCTTGAGATATAGGCTTATTTGGACTTGGATCGGATTTTTTTTGTGTCGTTGGATTCGTCTTGTCACGTGAATCATTTTCAAGATTAGTTTGTTGAAATCAAAGTTCAAATTATCTTGAATTGAATTCTACAAGTTTTTAGTTCATCCATGCATTGAGATTTGTGCATGATCAAGTTGATTTTTTATGACGAATCATGATATTGAAGGGTGATTAACTTGCTTCCATTGGAGGGCCTAGATTCTAGTCACAAAATTTAACTTTATGCAATTGGATAGCACAATAAAAAATAATTCCATGTTTTGAATGATGCACTAGTTAAGATCCCTTCTTTGTTTTGCCTAACATTTATTCCTTTCACCTTGCCCATTGAGAGGATTTGTTAAATCCTTCCATGGGATATCTATGCTTTATTTATATAAAGGTTAGAGAAAAGAGAAAACTAATTAGTGATCTAAATTAGGATTGAAAAAGTAAGGAAAGGGAAAGAAAATCTTCCCTCAATGTGCAACGCTACAACAAACGTTATTCTTTCATTCTAAAATGAGAAGTGGGTTGGGTTGAACAAGAATTGATTCATGATTGTTGCATAAAATAAGCATGTCTGAGGTTTGCGTGTAATTACACTTAGGACTACTAAATGGTAATTGCATTCAAAATTTGAAATTTGCTTGAATTCTAATCGACTTGAAATTTATATGCTTTGACTCCAAGATGACTCATTTAAAATAAGCTTAATTCAACTTGAAATGACTTCTCATATGATATATGCACATATTTATTTGTTGAGTATTAATACGTCTAAAAAAGTTTCACTTCAACAACACGAATATTGATACATTATTTGTATAAAAAATTTCAAAATTTAATTCAAAATCATCCACATGCTGATTTATGCGAACTTAAAATCAAATTGGACAACTTGACAAGACGAACCCAATGTCACCAAAAGTAATTCGATCTGAATCCAAATGAACCAAAATTAAGTATTTGAAGTATAATTGAAATTTTTGGGACATGATTGAATGATTTACAAATCGAGCGCTCAACTTAAAGAATCCAATGAGCCAAGGATCACTCCACTTTGAGGTCATCAAGTCACTTAAATGCTGAATGAATGGCCTATTAGTGAAATATTTAATACGAGCCATTTGATAGAGTGTTATAAAATTTTGATTAAATTTATTAGAATGTCACTTCTAAAATATTATAAATAGACTCACATTCTCCACATAAGAGCTATCGAGACTTGAGTTTGGAGAGTGCTTGGAGATTTGAAGAACTTTAGAGCTCTACATATCATTTGATGTCGACGATCACCGTCAATCACCATTGTTGTGTGATTGTTGTCATCTAACTTCAATCATTTGACCGTCATCACCTGACCATCATTGTATCACTACAATTCCTTCATCAACTCTAATCAAAATTGTTTGACTACAATTACCCAATCATCCTCACCTGACCACTATCATCCGATCACTATCACCTAACTAATATCATCCAACTACCACGTATCCAATATTCTCCCTCACAATTGTAGAATACAAGTTTGTATTACATACTTTATAATCCCATCTTCTCCAATTGAGGGAAATAGTAGACCCTTATAAACATAAAGTAATCTTGAATGTTGTTAATCAACAACAAAGTATTTTTAAATTTACTAAGCAATAACATACTAAATTAATAAAGATATTAATGATTACTATATCAAAATTCTTGGTAGCCTAATTACGATTTGTTTAGCTAATAGCAAATTCATTATGATTATAATTAGAAATTAGCACAATCCTTTTTTATTAGAATTCATACAAGGATCATTGTTCTATGACGTAATTAACTACATAATTGCTAAATAGATTTTTGCTCTGATATTTATTAATAAATACTTTTTTTTTGTGGATTATCGTATAGTAAGTTATGTCTTAATTACTTTTTAGTACTAATTAGGTAATTACTATATGAAAGTGTAAGTCTTTGCTCGAATGGAGAAAAAATGAAGGAAAAGAAATGAAATATAAATATTCTATGAGGTGATTATGAATCAATAATTAATTGATTGCAGATTTTTTATTGTTGATAAGACTAAAGAGGGAGTTGAAGATAATCTTGAATTATGAAGGTCAACCATAGAGTCTAAAGGTTTTCATTTGAGTAAATCTAAAACCGAATACATGGAGTGTAATTTTAGTAGTAATAGATCTAGTAGCGGTTTGTGACTTTGAGTGATCAAGTCATTAATAAGAGTACACGCTTTAGATATCTTGTGTCTATTGTTCAAAGTGATGGTGAAATAGATGGGGATATTATTAGTAGAATTCAAGTTGGATGGATGAAGTGGAGGAATGCATCGGGCTTGTTGTGTGATAGAAAAGTACCACTCAAACTCAAGGGAAAATTTTATACGATAGTGGTTAGACCTGCAATACTTTATGGCTCAGAATGTTGGCCATTAAAAGAGAAGCATAATATTGAGTTAAGTGTTACAGAGATGAGGATGCTCAGGTGGATGAGTGGCTTTACTCTTAGAGACAGGATACGAAATAAGCATATACGTGAAAAGGTTGGAGTAGTTCCGGTGGCAGATAAGATTAGAGAGAGTTGCTTTAAATGGTTTTGTCACATAAAATAGCGGCCTTCCTATGACCCGGTTAGGAGAGTAGATGTATTAGATTTAATCTATGTTAAGAAAGCTAGGTAGAGGTAGACCTAAAAAGACTTGATTAGAAATATTAGAATGGCCTTTCTTTATTAGATCTAAATGAGAATTTGACTCTTAACCGAACACAATGGGGAAAAATGATTCATGTAGCCGACCCCATGTAGTGGGATAAAGGCTTGATTAGCGGTGTCAATATTTGACCAGACCCGAAAATTTCGGGTTCGGGTTAGGGATTTCGACTCGTTTGTAAAAGGGAAAATCGAGTTGGGTTCGGGTTGACCCGGAAACCTGAAATCAACCCGGTTTGACCCATTTTTAATTAATTTAGGATGATTTTAAAAGATTTTTATTAAATAATTAAATGGATTGAAGTAAATTTTACCTTAATTTGAAATAAATTGAATTAAATAAATTTTTTTTTGTAAAACATAACCGAAGCGGGTCGGGTTCAACCCGGACCCGAAATGGGTCGAGTTCGGTTCTGGAAAACCAACCCGTTTGAAAAAAAACTGGTCGGGTTCGGGTCGGGTTAAACAATGTCGGGTTAGTTTCGGGTTGGACCCGAAAGCGACCCGTGACCCGATTTTGACAGCCCTAGGCTTGATGTTATTAGTTTTTATTTTCCTTTATATCAATTTTCCAGCATCCAAAAAGTGCCTAGAGTTACTCCACGCCTTTGTGGTTAGTTATGGCTGGATTGTGTGAATTGCCTATGAGTATAAACTGTCTTCCCCTAACTAATCCGAAATCTTAATGATTTTCAGTTAGAACTTTGGCATAACTTTAGCTCCTGCTCACCAAATGATATGGAAGACCATTATCTCATTCATGCAATGCTGCCCAAGGCTATAGCATTCCCATCTTTTTTCCATGTAATCACATTAGAACAAATTGGTGTAATGTCTCTTCTTGTTTCCAGTAGGGGAGGATGCTCAGAAGGAATCTGCATCCTCCTTTAAGGTTTATGAAAGGTCTACATTCTAAGTAAATAAAATGACTAGTAGAAATTGAACGTGACCAAAAAATATGAAGGCATTTCATTCTTCTTAAGCAAGATCTGTCATATATGGTTGGTATGGCTACAGGTGAGCGTCAAAGTTGCAACGAGATGGCTTAAAGTACATTATTGGATTCTTGTGTCGAATTTTGGAGTTAGGGCCTTCCAGCTGCTTACCGAAGTCATTGCCATCTCTTATATTTTAGACACTTTTTTCATTATTTAGTGTTGTTTGAAACCTTTTCAAAAGATTATCTTTAAATGAAGATTGATAGCTCCTTTTGGAATTTTATTGTCTTTTTGTGTCCAGGCCCGCTTAGATTTAAGGTTGATGATTTTGATGGCAATTTGCCAACCATAGTTGCCAATCCTTATGCTTGGACAAAGGTGAAAATCTTAGCACCATCATCATATTTCTGCAAAGTTATATGTGCTGATGCTATTATTTTCTCTCATAAGCGGATTCTAAATTTTCAGATTGCAAGCATGATCTATTTGGATTGGCCTATTGGTACTGGATTTTCATACTCCAGAAATGATAAAGATTATTTCACTGAGGATGTGCATGCGAAAAAACTACTATATGAGTTTCTCAAAAAGGTGCATATATGCTTGTCTAACTCTATAGTTGTATTTCAACTAGTCGTTGTGCCTGCTGTGATGCTCTAATACTATGTTTAAATCTATAAATGACTAACTTAGCCTGTTTAAAATTATTTGTAGTGGCTTCTTGATCATCCACGATTTCTCTTGAACCCTTTCTACATGGGTGGTGAATCATATGGTGGAAAGATGGCTGCACTTGTTGCCCATGAGATAGTTGAAGGTAATAAAATTTCTGGTAGGCATACAGCCTTTCTGTAATCTGAAACTCCCTTTTTTTCATTTTTGAAAGGAAATTGTTAACCATATATAATAATTTCCACAGGAAATGAAGAAGGCCAGCAGCCACAAGTCAATATCAAGGTCTATGATGTTACATTCAAACATGAAAACAATTTGTTTTTCTTATTTAGTTGAAGGGGTTCAAAGCTTTTTTTTTTTTTTTTTTTGGTTCTTGAAGGCTAGAGCTGTCAATCCTTTTTGAGTTTTTTTTGTTTTGGAATGGTCTCAGGGTTATTTAGTTGGCAATGCAATAACTGGCGATAAAGTTGATAAAAATTCTCAAGTGCCTCATGCTTATGGACTTGGTATAATTCCGGAGGAACTCTATAAGGTGCTGCTTTCCTGACTTACTACAGGATATTATGTGTAATTCAGACAGTTCTTGGCAATCACCTTAGTTTTCTTGTTAATATATGGTTGCCTCACTAACTAGTGCTCTCTATTATCAGCTCATTAAAAAGGGTTGTGTAGGAGAAGATTACGTAAATCCTCAGAATGTTTTTTGTGCTGCACAGCTCAAAGTCTTTAATGATGTGAGCCACACTTTCTTGAATCATATTTCTTATGTATTAAACGGCTGACCTGATCTCTTGCCAAAATTCCTGCAGTACCTTTCAGAAATTAATTCTTATAGCATACTGGATCCCAAGTGCTCTGATGAACCTCCAACTCCACAAGAAAATGTCGGAGATGGTAGATCTCTGGAAGAGAACTATGCACAGTTCCTCACCCAACCTTCGATTCCAGATACTAGTTGCCTAGTTAAGTTTATATCCAATATATTAGCCAGTGCATGCAAAATGCATAGTTAAGTTTATATCCAATATATTAGCCAATGCATGCAAAAATCTCAGAAGAAATATCTAATCTTATTTGTGAGAATATCTCATGCAGAATGGTGATCTTCTTGCAAATTACTGGGTAAACAACAATCTAGTTAGAAAGGCCCTACAGATCAAGGAAGTATGTGTACATGACTTAAGTTTGCTACTGCGTTTTTGTAAAAAAACTTCTAATGATGCGAATCGGTGGAGTATTTTGTTGTTAGGGGACTCTGGGACGATGGCACCGCTGCGACTTCAATGTGAATGCATATCATTACACACGCAGTATCCCTTCCTCTGTACCTTATCACTACAATCTAATACGCAAAGGCTATCGAGCTCTGGTGTACAAGTAATTATGTTAGCATTCAATTAAGTTACAAATCTTGTATTGTATTTGTAAGTACTGCTGAGATTCTCTGAAACTTTGTGATTCAAACAGTGGAGATCATGATATGAGAATCCCATTCTTGGGCTCATTGAAGTGGATAAAGTCGCTCGGCTTCTCTGTCTTGGATCCATGGCGATCTTGGCATGTCAACGACCAAGTTGCAGGGTTAGAACAATTTGAAACTATATATGAAAGCTAACATGAATTTTAACTTGCTAAATGTTGTCAAACTGGTCTCATGATTTGGTTTATCAGGTATACTGTGTTGTTCTCAAACAACTTAACATTTGCAACAGTGAAGGTATGGAGTTCTGTAAGGTTTCGACTCTCATTCTAAAATGGAATTGATACACATTCTATAATGTTTATAAGCTTATTTTTGTTGCAGGGTGGGAGTCATGTGGCGCCTGGTAAAAGGCCTGTGCAATGCTTTGCTATGTTTGAGAGGTGGATTTCTCATCAAGTTATCTGAAGCTAGTAGTGAAGAGTGACTTCATAACAAAGGTAGACTAGGAGATGAAAAATGATTGGTATAACAAAGTTGGATTTGTCTATTGTCTGCTAGGATATGTTAGCACTCTATATTATTGTTCCTTCCTATGTTTCTGACTTTGGTGATCAAATTTATATGATCATTTGGACTTATATGTGATCTAGTTTACCAGCAAATATGACCATCTGATGGCTCAGTTGGGAATTTCACTTTCCGGACTCCCTCGTTTTTAGGAGTAATTATTCTGTACAGATACCGGACGTAAACGCAACTCTACGTCCGAATACCGCGGTACCAAACAATACCAAGTGTCGGTACCTGTACAGACTATTGAACAGTGCTGAGCTGCGGTACAATAAAAATGTGATGTGGTGCATTTTTATATGTCTTTGGACGTTGTTCGGTGTCCGCATAGAATAATTTCTTCATTTTTAGGAGCATTTGTGCTTTTACTTTTGAATAAACATTGATTTAAATTGAGCGGACAAGCGGATCTATATGAAGATAGAGAAATTGATTTTTTTTTTTTTTTTTTTTGTGGGGTTGGGAGCACATGCTCAAATAAACAAAATTAAATAATATTATAATGATTGCACATGATAAAGGAAGCTTTTGGACAAAAATTGAAATTATTAAGAATAAGAGAAAAAAAAAAACCCAATGGCTCAGATATGACCAGATGGCGGATTGGTAAAGAGCTTAAATCAAGAGTATTTGTGTGATTAAGATTTTGTTTAGAATAATTTTTTTACTAAAAGTAAATTTTTAATACAAATTTTTCTTAAACTTTAAATTTTTTGTGCTAGAAATTAGTTTTAAAAAATAGCAAGAAAATTTTTCCAAATGAAACCTAAATAATAGAATAAAATATTTTGAATTAAAGAGATTATGACTTTATTTGAAACGACTTTAAGAAGTAATTAGAAAACTGTGTCAAACCAAGCCTATAAAAATCCATGAGTGCCTTCAAAAATTAAAACATAAATCTTATGGTCTCAATTTGTTCCTGATCTTGATTCTTCTTTCATCTCATCAATTTGGCCCAACCCAGAGTGAATGCTAAATTTTGTTCATGATAGTAAAAAATGCCAGCAAATTGCCTCTCAAACTTCTAGTTATTCATTTCCCTCTAAATATGATAGACAATATGGTGAGTAGAGATAAGAATAACATTAAAAAAGGTGCATGAGAAGAAAAGGTAGTTGAAAGACTTATTTTCATTCTAGCATGAATTGCACAACAAAGATATGAAGATAATTATTGTAGCTAGTGCATCCATAGTTCTAAGTTTATCATTAATTCGAGCCAATAGTAAATACAATAATGCATTATATAATTATGATGTTACACAAGCTTCTGCTAATTAGTAACAGGCAAGTGATGTAAGGAGATTTAGCGAAATCTATGAACAAGGGATCAACAATATCATTCCACAAAACACTTTTATTTTCGGAGATAACTGTTCATAAAGTGACCCTAAATTTCTTGGAGGCAGGAGAAATTAACAATCAGTTATGCATTGACATCAATAAGAGCAATAACGGGAGAAAAAGAAGCGTATGTCAAAGAATCCAAGCAGGTAGCACTCAACAATAAAATATAATTGTTAATGCAATGGTCTCAAAAAATTAAGAATGAAGCAACATCACGAATACTAAAGGAGATAAAATGACCTCATAGAATTTGTCATGTTATATGTTCTCTAAAAATGAGACACATTATGTGAGGAATGTTTTTAGTTCGAGAAGATTTTCTATCAAGTCAAAAGGAAATGAGATTGCTATTCTCCTGAAGCCATCAAAGAATATGGACATAAACTTAATAGAATAAAGGGGATATAAAAAGAGATTGAGACTCCATTTTTCCCTAGGTCTGCATGAGTAGTTTGAAGAGACCATATGGAGCTTTTAAGTGTACGTGACTCGTGAGTGTTATCATGGTATAGAAATCTATAGCGGTATTTTTTAAAAAAATAATGTACATTTTAAAAATAAAATGAAACTTAATCCAGCAAGCAACAATATTTTCAATAAAAAAATTCATGAGTTGGAACCAACTTACCCAATATAAATATTTTCCTTCTGATCATCTATTAGTTACTTGATTTGCCCAAAAAAAAAAAAAAAAAGATAGGTAGCTGTTGGGAGGGAAACAAACTATAGTGAATAACCCTCTGTGAAATATTTTGACTTATTATAAAATGCCGTATTTACGTATCTGCCCCTTTTTACATTATTATTTGGTTGGGCTCTTATTGCTAATTTCAATTAACATTACCTTCTAAAAATTTTGCTTTATTTTTAATGGGGCCACGTCATAAGAAACTAGATAAGAAATGGCCCACAAATCTACAGATTTTGTACACGTCATCACCTTCACTATTATTCTAGATCCATCTAGTTCTTCCGAGTTCAAAATCCATCTTTTCCCCCACAACCAATGAAAATGAATCCCTCGGTCTTCGATTCCATCATCAACGAGAGAGAGCTCACTCTCTACTTCCATGGCTTCGCTCTCATTCACCTCTCCTCCAAACCAACTCTGGCTCAAATCCTTCCAGCGAAAGGACCAACCTTTACTGCAAAGATCCCGCCTTTTTCCATTTTCACCATCACTCAAACTCCATCTCAGAACCCCTATAAAGTTCTCCGCCCAAGACCAAGATGAGCTGACCAAGCCCGCTTCTTCTGTTGCTGTAGTCTCGGAGGAAGAGGGTAGTTCAGCTTCTGGTGGTGGAGGAGGAAGCGATGAAGAGGAAGATCAGAAGGAGCAGCAGGAGTTGGACTGGAAGAATGATGATGAGTTCAAGAAGTTTATGGGAAACCCATCAATTGAGGCAGCGATCAAGCTTGAGAAGAAGAGGGCGGACAGGAAGCTCCGAGAGCTCGACCAGGAAGCAGAGAGTAACCCCATAGTCGGCTTCTTCAAGAAGGCGGCAAGGTATAGTTTGGCTAGGGAGAAGGAGAGGTTGGAAAAGGCAGAAGAGGCTTTCAAGGCATTGGATCTCAATAAGGTAATATTTTTTCCTCTCTTAATTTGAGTTATTTTGGACTCGAACGTTATAATATCGTGTCAATTGAATCATCGATAATCTGTAAATAAATATTTTATGAATGCCATGTCATCTTCGTCACAATGCTACATATTAACATTGAATAAAGCAGCACAGAAGGAGGAAAATTGACGGAATTTGGATTTTTTTTGGTGTTTGAATGTTTTTGTAGTTGAGGAATTGTTTTGGGTATGATTCATTCTTTGCTGTGGATGCGAGGAGATTTGGTGATGGTGGGATTTTCGTGGGGAATTTGAGGAAACCCATTGAAGAAGTCATGCCCAAATTGGAAAGGAAGCTTTCAGAGGCAGCTGGGAGGGAAGTGGTCTTGTGGTTTATGGAAGAGAAGAAAGATGATATAACAAAGCAGGTAAATAAACTGTGCACAGTTTCCCTATTTTGAGAAATTAACTCTTGAAACTTCATTTGATAGTATTATGGCTTCACTTCTATTTATGGAACTCTTTATTTTTATTTGTTTAGGTTTTGATGCATTTGAAATGTGGAATTGCTCTACTTATTTCCTTCACATCATCTTGTTGATCTTTATCTCAGTGATTCATTGCATTTGAGTGAAATTTCATCAATCACCTCTCTATTGAACTCCTTCATGTTTGCACACAAACATTGTTCATTCTTACTTATATTTGTTGGCTTAGCTTATTCTACCGCAGATTGTTGGGATTGGAGCTATTAAAAAATGTTGGAGCACACATGTTGACCTGATTTTTGAATGAGCTGGTTGTAATCTTTAAATGCTTAGCCTTAGTTCGTAGGATCCTTTCATTAGTATAGGGCCTTCCCTATAGGACCCTCTTAGATGGATACCTAGTGACTTAGCATTGGCTAGTCATAAAAAATCCAAAACCCTAGGGTAGTCCATACCTTAAGCTGGACTCTTGTGACCCATTAACTAGGTCAACCCTAATGTAACTTTATTGGCGCCTAAGACCTTAGGAGTCCATCCTAGACCTTTTTAAATTCATTAGAAGCTTCTTCAACCTTTACAAATTCATGTGTAACATGTTGAAGTCAAATCCCAAAATCCCAAACTCAAAAGAATTCTTACATAAGCCTTTAGATAGAACTAGAACATCTATGGTTTAGTTATTCCTAGACTTGTCTAGAAGACACCTATGAACCCTAGGACCCTTCTTAGTTACCCTAGATAGATAGTGGACCATACTGGTTCAACCTTAACTCAACTCTAAGTTGAATAAAAAACTCTAAAAATCCTAAAAATGTTGAATCTACCCTAAGGCTTACCCATGTGGCTCATGACCCTAGGAACCCTAGAATTGCTCTTGAACCCACCCCATGGGTCCAGGAGCCATAGTCAACCCATTTGACCCAGTCCAAGTGAGTTTGACCTAAGTCACCCATTAATCATAAAATTTCTAAATCTAAAACCTAAGTAACTAATTCAAATCTAATGGCCTTAGCATTGAGTCAAAGTGTCCTTAACCCATTCTAGGAACACTTTGACTAATGCTTAACCTATGGTCAAACCTTTGACCATTGTCAGCCATATTTTAACCAAAGTGCCCAAATGGACACCTTGCGTTCACTTGAACAAAACTCTATCAATTCAACTCCAAACATTTTCAAGCTTTGCTAAATCATAGCGAAGACCCTAACCTAGCTCTCCTAGGTCAAACCTTGATTCGACCATATCCAAACCAAATTCAAACATTTACCCCATCCCAAGTTGACTCACGGCCTCAATCGTCCTTGAGGGTTGCCTAGTCAGCAGGCTAGCTAGCATCACTTCTGACAGCTGCCATAATGATGACTGACAACATTATTTGGCTATGCTATAACCAACAGCTTGCTCAGGACACTCGAAGCCCTAGAATAGTTAGGAACACTTGTTCTTTTCCCAATGAATGATCCCCAATCATTTGACTAGCTGACTCATGGCCTTCACTAGACTTCTCAATTGTTCTTAAGGGTTATTTAGTCAGTAGGGCAGCTAGCACCACTTATGGCAGCTGCTATAGTGATGGCCGACAACATAATTTGGCTATGCTATAATCAACAACTTGCTTAGGACACTAGAAGCCCTAGAATGGTTAGGAACAGTTATTATGCTCCCAATGGATGATCCCCAAACATTTGACCAGCTAGTATTGTTAGTAATGATTGGAATCCTTCCAAATGCATCCCATGTATTTTCTATAAATTGGCCATGCTTAGGCCACTTTTGATGTGCAACAACGACCCCTCAGCTTCCTTGTGAGAGTTTTGAGAGTCCCCTAGCTTCCCTCTTCCTTTGTTTCCTTTGTGAGTCTAGAAAGAGTATGCTCCGACAACTTGTGTTTGACAAGATTGATACTAGTGATCCAATCACCCTTAGTTGAAGTTTTCCTTAGCAAACCAATTTGTTGTAGTTAAACAAAGCTGCTCTAACCAAAAGTTCATTCCAAAACTCTCTATATCAAGGAATGCCTAAATCCCTATAACCTAGAGTTTCAATTTCACAAATTGTGAAACCAATTTTAAACCCATGCAAATCTGATCTTGAATGATATCCTTCTTGCCACCTGATCCTTCATGATCCCATAAATTAAGGGGATCGTGGTTGATCACTCCTAATTAAGGGGATTTTAATTAACGACTGTTGTCTTTAGCTGGAGGTGAGAGACAACAGGGTCATCATACATTCCATTTGAGTAGAATGAGCGATGTTGATATCATTGTATAAGAAGTCTTGCAACTATCCCATATTATTTTAGGAAATGATTTGCATTGTCCGATCTAAGATCAAATGGCTTAGATCAATCCTATATGGACCATAAGACCGCTGCTTGAAATATCACCCAATTAATTGCCACCATGCGGAAACACTTTCCATGTCAACAAAAAGATAATTAACACTACAGGAAAGTAAGCCATTTTTTATAGAAAATTCTGCCGCAAAATAAGTCAAATCGGAGGAATACATTATGATGCTAAAAGTCGCATCAAAAAAGTATTTGTGTTGGAAATAGTTCTTGTAATTTGTGATGGAAATTTATGCCGCAATGTACAATACAATTTCGTCGTTTTGTTATTTATGGCAAAAATTCTACCGCAAATTTACCAAAAACCTATAGCATAAAAAACAGAATATAATATTAGTTATTCATTTTTCAACAATGACAATCCAAGAAATTTGAAAGTAGTTAATAATACTAAAAGTAGTTAATAATGCTAATATTTCAGCAACACTGCTAAAATAAATATATTGCACAAACTGTTCTATATTCATAATCAAACTGTTAAAAGAAATAATCAAATTCCAACAGTTCTATAATTAATACAATACTGCTAAAGTAAAGATAGTTCTTATACATAAAAAAGTAAAATGAATAAAAAATCGAAGACAATCTAAGCAGAATCTGTATCCTCACTCTCCTGCTCGGCCGATGCACGCGCAAGCTGATTTCTACCAATATGCTCTCTCAATTTTTGAAGCTCATCCAATATCTGCATGTGCATGTCCACTAGTGATTTCCAAACATGTTCTAGCTTTGCTGTCAGGTTAGCTACTTGTTGGCTATACAAACTCTTCTTGTTGTTTGCATAGTAATTGGAGACACAAGAGGATTGTCTCTCATACACATAAGCATGTGAGCCTAATCCATAAACTCATCAGTTCTGCATTCTGCCGACTACCTGTGACCAAGTGCGATTGTCAGAAATATATGCTGAACCCCTAGGGGATCTCTCACCAGCTGTAGTCTGGCTCTCTCGAAGTCGTATATATTCATCCTACAAAATATAATATAAGATTAATCATCATATAATCGTCGTTTACAATATTTTTCTAAGCATTGTAACCTTATATACTTACATAGGCCTCCTCGCTCTCTCATCCAACCACTATTGGTCTTCCTGGCACTTGTGTGTGTGACTGTGCAACTTAACAACAGGAGTTCTCTACCTAGCATCTCCTTCAACAGTATACTTAAATTAACATATATAATCAAATAAATTATTAAAATATGTTAGAATTCTTACAAATCGGCATTTGTGCTCAATGTGTGGAACTAAGCCTCCAGTATGGAGGGAGCTATCTAGGCCCTTTATATTAGAAGCTCGATTCTGTTTATTATACTCCCTTTTTGTATAATCTGGGCAGCCCAAAATATTGTTGAGGTTGGCCCATACATCCTCTCCAATTCTAAGTGGTCGCTTGCCAGTTCTCCTAATGTGTGTGAATATATCTCACAAGTGAATTGCTTCGCGTTTCTCAAAATTCATTTTGATATTTATACCATGCTCTAGCAACTAATAGAAATCTCGTTGTATATAACAAATTAGAACAAAGATTATTCTTTGTTAGATTAATAAAAGATGGACAGATGTTACGAACACTGTAACTTACTAACCTTGAACTCTCTAAATCATATGTCGCGCCCCTCCTTTGGGATTTTCTTCCAAGAAACATATGGACCATCAAATCTGCTCCATATGATGGCCCATATATTGTGCATGGGCTGCTTTGACGATTTGCATGTAAGAACATGCGGTGACAGGCAAACTAAGTGTTCTTGCCTCCATGCTTCAAAGTGAATGATTTAGTATTTTCCATGCAATATGGGCAAGCTATCTTGCCTGCAATGCTCAAACCAGAAAGTATACTATATGCTGGAAAGTCACAAATTATCCAAAATAATGTTGCCCTCAATATAAAATTTTATTAGGTACATTCATTGACCAATTAATTATATTAAAACCAAACACCCAAGTTGCAATTCTGTAGAGATTGCATTTCATTCCTTCAAATAGAATAGAGCCTTTGTGAAAGGAATAATGTAGTTTGTGAAAGAGTAAAAGCTCAAAATAGTTCCCCGACTATTAATAATATCCAATTTAGCCTAAGGTTTTTATGATGACCCAATTTAGTCCCTTAAATATTAGAAAATGTCCCAATTTGATCACAATGTCAAAAGTAATAGTTAAATTTAACCCCAACAGTTAAATGTGATACATTTTTTGTGTCATGATATATATGAGATTATATTATTTTTCATATTTTTTGTTATTTATCATATTAAATTAAATTTAAAAATCATAATGAAAATTAATCAACTAAATAATAAGAGTGAATAATTAATAAACATGATTAACTTTAATTGTTATTTTTGGCATTGGATCAAATTGATACATTTTTTTAATGGTCGGGGACTAAATTGGGGCATTATAAAAATTTGGGACTAAATTGGGCATTTATTATTAGTTGGGGCATTATTTTGTGTTTTTACTCATCTATGAAAGTTAGTGCTTTATGCTTTTTTCTTGAATACAATGCATGCTTTTAAGAATTCTCTTTTGTTCATTTTTCTCTTGGTTTTTGTTTCTATTCAGAATTTATTGTATCCAAACAAAATCATTCAACTACTAATTACAGGTGTGCATGGTTCAACCTAAAGAAGAGATGGATCTTCAATTTGAGTATACAAAGCTAAGCACTCCTTGGGGATATGTTAGCGCCATTGCATTATGCGTAACAACTTTTGGAACAATAGCTTTGGTCAGCGGATTCTTTCTTAAACCTGGTGCAGGATTTGAAGACTATGTAGCTGATGTGATACCACTTTTTAGTGGCTTCCTAACAATATTAGGGGTTTCTGAGGCATGTTAAGTGCTCCTTATCCTTTTTTCTTTAATAATTTTGTTTTGTCACTGTACTTTGGTCCCTTTTTTTTTTTTCTCTATTAACTTCTAATATAATCTTACTTGTGCTTAGTCTATGCTTTTATATATATATATGGGATATGCTTTTGTATTTCTATAATATTTCATATAAATACATTTAGGTCAACCTTTAATTAGCTAGTTAATGAAATCAATACACTTCATTCAAGAGCAGTAGTTAGTAATGTGGGATGACTGATGCTACTACTTTATATAATTACTCAGCTAAGCATGTTTACTTTAACTGTTTTCTGTTATGTTTAATGGTGTATTTTTCCTCCTGAAGGTGGAAGGACTCACTTTTGTGTTTTGACGGACATGACTTGCTTTAGTGAAAAGATTTCTCCGTATTTCACCTTAGTCTACCTCTTTACCAATTTTCATATGAAACTTGTATCTGAGAAGCTATGGTGGACGATAACAACCACTGATCCGTCATCGTCCTCAAACCAATTGATTCTATAGTGACTATAAGGTTAAAATTGATATCCCCTTCTTTGATGGACATTTGCATATCAAAGACTATCTTAATTGGGAGCAAGTCATTGAGGTATTTTTCAATTATATTGGATACCCATAGAAAAACAAGTTCAATACATGGTCCACAGGTTGAAAAGTGGGGTCAAAGCTTGGTAGCAACAACTCACACTATCACATCCTGAGGAATGACATCGAAATATCAAAAATTGGAGTTGAATGAAATAACCCCTGCATGGCCATTTCATGGTGTGATTCAGAGTGAATCCCATCATTGGGTTCAAGAAGGCCCCTGCCATGTCTAGATGTAGCTCTTCCTCTATCAATGCCTCCCTTTCACCTCCCTCCTCAGCTTCCTCATTATTATAGACAATGAGAATCTGAAGAGTTCGGTCCTTACTCCTGTTCCCTGGGGTATTACCTCTCATCACATTTAAAGCACAATCCCTTCACCCTTTTCTCCTATAGCTCCTTCTTGGTGAGCTTCTTGAAGTTTCCCCCTCCTATAAACTTCTCATTTTGGGTCTCCCAAGGAGCAACCGGTGGTAGCCCCTTGGGTGACAAAAATATTGTGTGGAATCTGATTGTGTTGATCAATCTGGTTATTCTATTGTCTCGGACCTTAAAGTTTGTCGTGTGCACTGGGGGTGCGAGGGGTTCACCCCCTGCTTGGATTCGGGCGCTTTGCATGCAATGTTTTTTCCATACAATGCTCGGGGCTGCGTACCAGAGCGCCCCTGCACTGCGCCACCGAGTGCCCCAACTTTGAACGATATAGAGTAGAGTGTCACAGCGGCCTAGATATCGTGCCACAATGGTTGAAGATAGAGGCTTGAATGCTGTAGCGCTTCAAACCGGCACCACAGCACTGCGAGACGGACTGAACAGTTTTCTTTCTTGTTTTCTGAATTGTTGCATCTCTTGGAGTTTATTTACTTGGCTTTCTCTTGTATTTTCTTTTAGGGAAAGAGTGAGAATGGGGCATGTGAAAAGAGAAGTAATGAGAGAACGCTAGAGAAGAGAGATATGTACTTATTTCTCCTAATTTTCATAGTGAATTTCTTGGTGTGGTGTAGCTCCATAATTTTTTCCCTATTTTATGATTTTTCATGTTAATTCCTGGTGTCCTTTACGTTTTCGCTACTTTTACTTTCATGATTGTTTCATTATTGTGGTGTTTTCTCTATCTCCCCAACAAAAAAATGTGGTGGTTATCTGATAGGAAACACTTGGATTTCCAAGTGTTTCTCACCAAAACCAAGTAGATCCAATGTAAAACTGCTGTCAATAGCAGAAATCAGCCAAGAAACAGGGAAAAAAAAAGGAAGAATCGCTAGAAATCTGAGAAGAAATCACACAAATCTATTGTATTCCAATAGTATAAGCAATACAATAAGAAAGATACAATTTTCCTTCAATTCGAGAGGAAGGAAGAATCTCCACAATCTCCGGCAACGCCAAGAGCCCAAGAACCAAAACCTAGATCTCCAAATAAGATTCAAATTCAAGATAACTCTAATTCCCCCCTCATCTCCCTAATTAAACATGAAAGGAGTATTACAAAAGACCTAAATACCCCTTTTAATTCAAATTTTCCCTCCCACAATTTGAAATTGACTCCAAGTGGGCCCCTCAGCTTTTCCGCCCCCCTCCCTGTTCGCCTGGCTTCCGCCTGGTGTAGACCAGGACCGGTCCAGGTTGGACCGGTCCAGGTTGGACCGGTCCAGCCGGCTCAGGTGCCGGCCTAACATTATCTTGCACGAGTCTCCTGAATTTCCACCTTTGACCCCCCTCTCCAAGTACCTCTGGTTCTCCACTTGCTATGCTAGCTTCATAGCCTCTCCCAAACTACGAGGCCTCATCACTCTAGCTGTCACCCTGATCTATGGTTTGAGCCCTTTTATAAAATTACCCTTTAATACAGTCTCAAAAAACCGGTCAAGTCGGCTAGCCAGGTACTCAATTCTCTCTCAATACTCCACCACAGTTCCTTTCTGTGTCAGTGCGAAAAACTGCTCATAGAAGTCTCCTCCCTTGTTGGTTCGAAAATATTCCAGCAAGCATTCCTTGAACTCTCTCCAACTCGATATCGATCGTCTCATGCCTCTCTACTAATATCATGCCGATGCCTCCCCCTCTAAACACAGGACAACTGCCGTCAATCTCTCCTCCTTCATCAATCCATAAACGGTGAAATACTTCTGCACCTTGTAGATCCACCCATGTGCACCATCTTCCTCAAAGATGGGCATCTTCAGCTTCTTTACCCTCGAATCTCCCTCGTTCCTCCAAACACAGACCAACTAACATTATAAGTTGGAGGAAAACAAACACCAGAGACAAAGGTTTTTGAAATTGGTAATTTAGTCATGGTGCAACTTCATAATGGATGATTCCTACTAGCATCTTCTATTCAAAAATGAAAACTCACAAAATTAGGTCATTCCCTATCAGTTAGCCTAAAAACAAGTAACAACAATGCCGTTGTGGTGTGCTGCCCTCGGACATAAACCTGGTGCCGATGTGCAATGTGTCCGATCTTTACACCTACCAACCTTTTAATTACGGGCAGACAAATTTCTGAACTCGAGGTCAAATGCTTCTGAGGCAGGGAACCGATGCAACTTCTTTACAGTAACTCACACGTAGTTTAGTTTTTGCTCAATCTAATTAACTTGGCTTAATTACATTTTACTTAATTACTTAGCTAAGCACGTTTATTTTATCTGCTTTCTCTTACGGATAGTGGGCGTATTTCTCCTCCCAAGAAAGGTAGGTAGGACTCACTTCTATATTTTGATAGAAATTACTTTTGCTTTCAATGAAATGTTTTCTCCATGCTTCCTTTATATGAAACTAGTATTGATGGTCAAGTGAATGAAGACCTTTTTCAGTTCTAGAAAACTATGCAAGAAGCTTTGGTGTTATTTAACTGCAATTATCTTTTATTTTACTTTCACTGAGCATTACTGTCCGAATCATTATTATGTTTTATTTTGTGAAGCTATTTTAGCATTCAAAACTCATCCTACGAGTCTTTCTTTACTTCCTCTTCCCATTGCTTGCATTGTTTTGCAAACAATCAATCTGATTATTCATAGCAAAAAAGCAGATTACGACGAGGATAACAGCTGCTCGCTATGGCGTAAATCTCAGCCCGTCTTTTCTTATTCCGTCGAATTGGACTGGTTGCCTTGGAGTGATCAATAACTATGAATCATTGCTTCCCAACAAGAAAGCACTTTTTGATATTCCTGTTGCACGCACAGCCAGTGCTTATGTGACTTCATTAGCACTTGCAGTGTCTGCCTTTATTGTAGATGGAAGCTTGAATGGAGGAGACAATGCACTGTAAGTTTTCACTTGGTCCTTATGGAGAACAATATTATGGAGAGAGTCTTTGATGCTTTTATAACTTTATTATGAAGTTTATTGCTCATTTGACAGATTCATAAGACCTCAATTCTTCTTCAACAACCCCCTCCTTTCTTTCATTCAAGTTGTTATAGGTCCCTATGCTGACGAATTGGGAAATGTTTTGCCTAATGCTGTCGAAGGGGTAGGTGTGCCAGTTGATCCGCTTGCTTTTGCTGGGCTTCTAGGTATGCTGCAATGAGCTTCAACCTTGAATTTCTCTTGCAGTTTCTGTTTACCTACTATTCAAGTGTTTGAAAGTAAATGGAACTCAATTTTAAAACTAAAATTTTTGTGCTAAAAAATTGCTTTAAGCAGCAGTAAGATAGAAATAAGAATGTAAGTGTTGGGTAGTAACAAATTATTGATAGTCAAGTTGAGCATGATAGAAATAAGAATGTTAAGATGAATGCGTGATAAATAGAAAAGATAAATTAAATGATGTCTTATTAGATGAACAGTTGGAGTAGCATATGTTGAAAAGTGGACAATTGAAAATAGATTTACTTTATGTAGACATAATGAAATATAACACTGCTGTTGCTAAGTCTCAATCATGGATAATAAAAGTAGACTATTAGGTTAGATAGTCGACAATTAGTATAAAATTTGTCGAATTATCATGACATGACTCGGAATTTACTATTAATAATAATATAATAGTAAATTAATCTGAGGAAGTCTTACAAATATTTTTTTTGAAAATGGTAATATAATGATATTACAAATTAATGTGATGATGGATTCATAGCAGCCTTATTGCAAGAAGTAAATTAATGCAAAGCAAACAAGACAACTCTTAGAAAACTTATATCAACGGAAATGATTTGCAGAACTCAACATCAATTTCTTCCAAAAAAAAATTATATCAAAAAAATAGACTTTGAATAAGTGATGTTGTGGTTATGTATTCTCTGCATGATGCAGGAATAGTAGTGACCTCTCTCAACTTGCTGCCATGTGGAAGACTTGAAGGGGGTAGAATAGCACAGGCTTTGTTTGGAAGAAGCACAGCAACCCTGCTATCTTTTGCGACGTCGCTGCTACTGGGAATCGGTGGACTGAGTGGCAGTGTGCTTTGCTTAGCTTGGGGTTTGTTTGCAACCTTCTTTCGCGGCGGTGAAGAAATTCCGGCCAGGGATGAGATCACTCCCCTCGGTGAGAACCGTTATGCATGGGGCCTTGTCTTGGCCATTGTTTGTTTCCTCACACTCTTTCCCAATGGAGGAGGAACCTTTTCAAGCTCCTTCCTCAATCCTCCATTTTTTAGAGGAGATGGGAACTTCTAAATGTTGGTTTCAAATGTAAATGAATATTGTAATGCAGTTTCAATCCTTCAGAGCTTGATTCAAAAGTGTGGTTTGTTCGATCTTAGAGCTTCCATTCAAAAGCATCTTTGAAACATTAAATTTATTTGTATTCATTTTGGAAAGCTTGGAATAGTAAAGAAACTTTATATGTTGTGTTACACAGCTTATTAGTTTCAAACTGATAGAACCAAAACCATCTGAGCTGATAAAAGGTAAACTTTTGGTTGAGATAAGAGGGAAATAAAGGAAGAGAAAAATTACATTTTGGTTCATTATTTTGGCTGTTCAATTGCAACTTCATTCGTAAGTTTTATTAGTGAACAAAGACCGGATTTTTTTTTCAAGGAAGCTTACATGAACAATACAAACGGTAGATGAGCTTAGCTGCTTTCGAATCCCGGAGCTCATCCAATGCTCTGCTTCTCTTCCGCGATCTGCTCAAAAGCTCTATCGCCAACCGAAACCTCGCAACTGGCCGTAGTCTCCACGCCCTCTACCTCAAGTCTTTGATCCCCCCGAACACCTACGTCTCCAACCATTTGGTCCTCCTTTACTCGAGATGCCGGCAACTAAGCCTCGCCCGCCAAATGTTCGATGAAATTCCCCACCCAAATATCTTCTCATACAACACCCTCCTCGCCGCCTACGTCCACGAGTCGCAGACTCACCTGGCTACCGTTTTCTTCTCCCGCATTCCCGATCCCGATCTCGTCTCCTTCAACACCCTCCTCTGTGCTTATGCCGCGGCCAGCCGCACCACCGATGCCATCGCGCTCTTCTCCCACATGCGCCATTCTGATTGTGATATGGACGGCTTCACCCTCTCAGCTGTGTTGTCCTCTCTCCTGCACAGCGGCGCTCAGCAGTTCCATACCATCGCCATCACCACAGGCCTCTATACTTACATCTCCGTCAGCAACGCTCTTATCTGTTGCTACAGCAGAATAGGAGTGCTTGTAGATGCTGAACAGGTGTTCCATGAAATTCCCGTTATCGACCGTGATGCAGTTTCATGGAACTGCATGATTGTTGCTTATGGACAGCACCGGAAGGGACCGAAAGCATTGAGTTTGTTTCAGGAGATGATTAGGCGAGGCGTTGACGTAGACATGTACACACTTGCAAGCGTGCTGACAGCTTTTACAACGGTGAAAGACCTTCCCGGCGGAATGCAGTTTCATTCCTTTTTAATCAAAAGCGCTTTTGAGAAGAATCCCCACGTCGGGAGTGGTCTGATCGATCTTTATTCCAAATGCTGCAGAGTTCTGGAAGCCAAGAAGGTGTTTGAGGAGGTGGACGAACCTGATTTAATTCTCTGGAACACGATGATCTCCGGCTTTTCTTTGAATGATGAGTACTTAGAAGAAGCGCTACTATTTTTCCAAAGTTTGCAACGCGCTGGATTTCGTCCAGATGATTGCAGCTTTGTCTGCGCCATTAGCGCTTGCTCAAACCTTTCGTCACCATCACAAGGCCAGCAGCTTCACTCTCTCGCAATGAAGTCCGACTTTCCCACAAATCTAGTTTCCGTCAACAACGCGCTGATCTCAATGTACTCCAAGTGCGGGAACCTCAAGGATGCCGACAAACTATTTGTCAGAATGCCCGAACGAAATTCAGTTTCATATAATTCTATCATTGCAGCTTATGCCCAGCATGGTCTTGGTTGCGATGCGCTGGAGTTGTTCAAAGAGATGCTTGATTCAAAGAACGAGCCCACGAGTATAACATTTATCTCAGTCCTCTCAGCTTGCGCGCACACCGGGCAACTCGATGAAGGCCGGCGTTATTTCAATTCGATGAAGAAAGATCACAACTTTGATCCATCAGAAGAGCATTACTCCTGCATGATCAACCTTCTTTCTCGCGCAGGCAAGTTTGCTGAAGTGGATCAGTTGATCAAAACGATGCCTTTTGATCCAGGGGTAATCGGCTGGGCTGCTCTGCTCGGCGGGTGCAGAACACATGGCAACTTGGAACTCGGAGCACGAGCAGCTGAGAAGCTTCTTGAACTCGATCCTTCGAATGCCTCAGCTTATGTGATGCTAGCCAACATGTATGCAAGCTCTGGAAACTGGGAAGAGATGGCTAATTCTCGAAGATTGATGAGGGATCGAGGCGTGAGGAAGAAACCTGGTTGCAGCTGGATTGAAATAGGAAAGAGGATTCACGTATTCGCGGCTGATGATGTGTCTCACTTACGAATTAAAGATGTTTATGAGTTCTTGGAGGAGATTTCAGAGAAGATGAAGCTGGCGGGATATGTGCCGGATGTGAAGTGGTCATTGGTGAGGGACGATGTTAGAGAAGGAGAGGTGAGGTTGGCTCACCATAGTGAGAAACTGGCCGTTGCATTTGGGTTGATCAGCACTGCAAATGGCGCACCAATACTTGTCATGAAGAACCTTAGAATCTGTGGAGATTGTCACAATGCGATCAAATATATTTCCAGGATTGCTGGGCGGGAGATCACAGTAAGGGATGCACATAGGTTTCATTGCTTCAGGGATGGGCATTGCTCTTGTCGAGATTATTGGTGAGGCTTCTATTGAATCATGTCTTCATGAGTTTGAAGCAAAGTCTTATATGGGGTCCTGGTTCGATATCCATTGGGTATTCATGCTTTACTCTGACGGGATTCAATACTCACTCTTACCCATGATGTCTTTCGTTATGTCGTACCCATCTATACCCATCCATTTTCTATGATTTTTGAATGCAGTCTGTCATTGACTGATGGCCTTGAGGCTTGCTGCCATTTGCTTTGATTGCAAACTTTCAATCCACGTATCAGAATTTATCGTAGTCGCAGTGTGATTAAGTGCTACACATTAAGTACTGAAGATTGCAGTAATATAAGATATACTGTGATTAGCAATGTAAATCGATTTATCCTTCGATGTTGAGTACCCACTTACAAGGTCATGGGTGTACTCGGTAGTCATGGGTGTACCCATACCGACATACACCCATTGGATATAGGTGGGTATATGGGTAGGTGTTAGTATGAGTACCCAATATAGGATTCTGATTTGAAAAGAAATTTTGTCCTCAAAGAGTATTTCTTTGTTTAACTTAGCTTGGGAGCAATGCAATAAGCATTTTTCAGCAAGTAGAGTAATATGTTAGATGAGCTGATATCCATGGAATCATTGTCAGAAATAATACCTTATGTGCCTTGCTTCTTCAGTTGTCAGTGTGATGGATCAGCGCTTTCTTGTTCAGATGGGCCTGCTAAATTGATTTGATGTAGCTGGGCCCTTGTTGGGTTATGGGCTGATCTGTTGCGTGATTTAGTTGGATTCCTGTGATGGGACTTGCAAATATTGAGTATGACATGTGTGGTGACTGGATGGGTTACGCGGCTATTTCTGTGCATGTGTCCTCTCTTCTTATTTATTGGGCCGCTTATGACCGCTGCTTTGATGGGATTTTCGAGACTGTACGTCGAGTTTTCTCATTCCGATGAAAACAATAGAGATTCGCGAGCATCAGTTTTAATACATATACATAATCAATTCTATTAAGGCATGTGATACATTGTTTTAATTTATTAAGATTTTTTTTATTAAATTTAATTTTGTGTTTAAATTTGATGTGTAATTTATCAAATATGTATGAATTATCTAATAATAAGTTTTTTTTTTTTCGTCTATGAAGAAATTCTTCGACACATCCAAAAAAAGAATAATTAATTAATAATATATGTATATTTACTAATTCTTATTTATGTAACATTATTATGGTTCCGTGCAAGAGGCTTTTGAGGATATTTCTTCAGCTGTTGTTGTGATGGATATATTGTTTATAGCTCCTCGTGTCTCTTATGACATGGACGTGGTTAATATGGGGTTGTGCAATGTTAACACTGTGGTGATGAATGATTCATTTAGTGGTTTGCCTGTTGTTTCTTATGAACATTCCTTGCCTATTTCTTCCTTGATAGTCTTTGAACGTATAGTGCCATTGTTCGCTTCGAAAATTTGAGCTCCTGCCTCCCATGCATAGGAGAGTTTTAATGATGTTCCGGGCTAAATTTTCAGAAGGCATATTAACTTGGGGATAAAGTAGTGTCCAGAGATTTCGTCCTCATTTTTGTGAGGACTTTATAATCTGGTTCTAGGTTTCCCATAAGCACAAACACTTATGGTTAATTACATCTCTCGACCATGAGAGAGAACTTTCGATTAAGGTTATTCATTAAGTAGGTATGAAATACACACCATATAGTAGCAACATATAATTTTTTTTGAATTATAAATTTATTATTTTTATACTTAAAGCGGATGGTGGAGAGAATGATGATGAGTCCGATCAAGATCCCATGGTTCAGTCGTCCCTGACCATTATGGTCCTTAGTCTACTTAGTCAGAGAAGGTAGTCGGCCCAACCTGATAGAATGATCATTGTCGGTAGCCATGGGTTACTTCGTCCAAGGGAATCTTGTAGACCTGGGGTGGATACTTATTTAAGAAAATAAATTTTAGTCAACCTTAGCTAACAGAAAACTTTATGCCTTATTGAGTGCACCCTATGATTCATTACTCAATGGGCTTTTAACCATTGGAGAATATACAGGCTTTGACTGTAATTGTGATATAGTGGTGCTGTTTTGCAGCAAAATCACCCAGTCAGAGAGCACATGTCACGTCCTTTCTGGCGAGAAATCATTTGAGAATGAATCATAATTATACATTTAATCAAACATTTTGCTCTTTGTGAGTTGAAGTTATTATGAAATTTATTATCTTTAACAAACGATTGTGGATGATTGATGGATTTTTTCTTTATGTTTTAAATAATAAATTTCATTTAAATATTATAAAATTTATCAAGATTTTGTTCCAAATATGATTTAATTTTAAAATTTGGGGGTATTTTAAATGTTTGAGATTCCCTTCGGTTGAGATTAGCTTTCAACACAGCCATTATTAGGATGACTTTAGCGTCATTTGAAAATATTTGTATTTTATAAAAATTTGAGGGCATTCTGAATATTTGATCCCCTTCGGTTGATATAAACATTCAACACGTTCATCATCGGGTGACTTTGAGGTCATTTGAAAATATTTGTATTTCATAATCATTTAGAGGCATTTGAAGGTGTAGAGTCTCCTCCGGTTAATATAAACATTCAACACGGCCATCATCGAGGTGACTTTAAGGTCATTTGAAAATATTTGTATTTTATAAAAATTTGAAGGCATTTTGAATATTTGATCCCCTCCAGTTGATATAAACATTCAACACGGCCATCATCGGGGTGACTTTAGTGTCATTTGAAAATATTTGTATTTTATAAGCATTTAGAGGCGTTTGAAGGTGTAGAGTCCCCTCCGGTTGATATAAATATTCAACACGGCCATCATCGGGAATGACTTTGGGGTTATTTGAAAATATTTGTATTTCATAAGTATTTGGAGGCATTTGTAGGTGTAGAATCCCCTCCAGTTGATATAAATATTCAACACGATCATCATCGAGGTTTAAAATAGCTTGTGTATTTGTTATTTAAACCATGTCAACTCTGTTTGCATATGCTAGTAGAAGATTGAATTTAGTATCAATTGTATGCTGAACTTTTCTTTTACTAGACCTTTAAAGGCCTAATATGAACTTATAAAATCAAATACTCCAGTCAGTGCTACAACCATGTATTTGTTAATAGTTCAAGTCTTGTCAACTTTAGACTATTTGAACAGGAGGATTAGACTTGAGCTTAGGTTCACTTTTGATATGCGTAGCAATCTCATACTTTATTTTTTATCTCATATATTTTGTCAAAGCATATGTACACTTTTAAAATTTAGTATGCACGCTTCTTGAGGTGGTGACTCGCTTCTCAATGCAATAGCACTCTTCTCGGGCTAGTTGCTTGCTTCCCAAGGCTGTTGTACACATCCTAGAGGCATCAACACCCTACTCGATACTGCATATTTAAATTTATAAAATTCTAATTTTAATGTAGGAAAGGGGGTATTAAACGTCTTATTTCCGCTTGTAAAAGTGGTGCGCATCCGATGGCGTTTTACTCTAAACAAAATCTTCGAAAAAGTGTCATATTTTTCATTAAAAAAAATCTTAGCAAAACCAGTGCTATCTTCTTTCATTGCCTTATCTGAGAACTTTGTTTCCACTTGCTACTAAAATTTGATTTCCTTTAGTTGCATCAATTTCTTCTTACACGCAATGTTCATGTCTTGGCAAATTTTTGCATTTTAATTTGTACGTCTTCGCCTCGCAATTTTGTGTTAAATTTGCATTTTTGCTCGTATAAGGATCTAGGCAATATTATAGCCATTTATTGATATTTTTTGTTCTTTCGAACACAATGTCGTAATTCATTTAGCAAATAGATGATGTTTAGTCAATGTTGAGCGACATTTCATCCGTAGTCCATCAATTTTAATTTCTTTCGTTCAATTGGATTCTGAGGGGTCTCTCTTTGGTTAAATTCAATGCTCTGAACACATTGACATAAATTATTTGACAAATTAGAAGCCATTCAGACAATTTCTTTATAGCATCGTGCTTGCCAAAAATTATACTTATCATCATTTTTTATTGAATTATGAACAAATAGCTCATCTTTGATAAAATTCGATGTATTGAATATATCGATGTAGTCTATTTTATAATCAGAAAAAATTTGAATACATTCATCCCAGTCGAGACACATCGATGTTCATTCTAAGCGATGTCTTATTTACCAATAATACTATATCATTGCCTCTGTTACTTGCATTGATCATGCTACATATGTAGATGTCAACAACCATTTATGGATGTCCTTGTTTCTATTATTTTTAATGAGTTGAAATCTCATTTGGCTTTGAATTTATATGATTCTTGTGTGAATCAATTTGATTGGCTTGATGAATCATTAGACTCGCTTGGTGGAGGTGAGGGGGATGAATTGGATGGGCCCGAGGAGAAGTTTAATGCAATGTTTAATTTGAATGTGAATCGCATTGTTAAGAAGGCCTTCCCTCATTGTGGTGGAAAAAGTCGTAGGCATAAACCCAAAAGGAAGTAACTCTTGTTGGTGTGGTTTCGTCTTAATTTGGTTGGCTGGGTGTTGTTTATCTTTGGTGAGTTCTGTGTGTTTTTTGGCCCTATTGTTATGCTCTGTGTTCTGATTTGATGGGCTTCTATTTGCACTTGTGGTTGTTAGGGTTTTTGGGTTGGCTATTTTTCTAAGTCTTTATGGTGTTTATGTATTTCTTGCTACTGTGTTTCTTTTCATATGTTGTTACTTGTTTTGTGTTTGGGTCTTCTATAACCATTGGGGGTTTGGGCTGGTGGTTGGTTGTGGGTCTGTTGGTGGCTGGTTGTGGGGCTCTGTTTGGCTCTTTTTTATTACCTTTGGTTCATGGTTTAGTTGTGCATCCTTTTGGTGGCTGATTGTGGGGCTTTACTCGGCCCTCCTATGGCTAGTTGTGAGCTCTCTTGGTGGCTGGTGTCTCTGGTTTTGTATGTTGGCTGGTGGCTTTGTGTTGTTGGATCTTTATGGGGTAATATTGGTTTGCTCCTTTTACTTTCTCTTGTTCTTTGTTCCCTTATTTTTTCCTTCTTGCAGGTTGCTGTTATTGGACCTCTTGACATGCTGGCATTAACTTCTTGTTTTCCTTTCATGGGTGACTCGCTCTGTGTTCTGGGCTTTTCGGTTTGTGATTTTTTCTTTTTGTTTGATTTTCTAATTAGATTGAATCTAAGGTTCGTAGGTTTTACTTTAAATGTTGTATTTTTAGTGAGCTTTGGATTCTTTAAGGAATTGTACCAATTATTTGCATTAACGCGTAGGCCACTTCTGGTGGGTTTTTATTAAAAAAATCGTTATTGTTCGTAAAATTAATTTAAATTCAAAATTTTTATGTTACATGCATGCTATTGACGCTAGAAAATTTATAATAATAGAAATTCTAATATTTTAATTTTGTAAAAACATTCATAACATACATAAATCAAAATTGTAAGAGGCACAAAAAATGTGTCTTAAAAACTCAAAAAATAAGAAAAATAATAATGCTAAATTCTATCGAAGTAATACACTCTATAATTAAAGATATATTAATGCACCCTAGTAACAATTAAGAAAGATGAGATTGTATATAGTTGATAGTAATTGTTGGATTCCTCTTGAAAGGAAATTACACGTAATTCAAAAAATTTGGTTGGATGTTAGTA